GGCTAAGCCCACTGATCGTCGCCGTCTAGCGGATTTCATCTCCTCATCCTCGACGATTCGCCATCGAAAGTTCATCTTGTAGTACAGCTCCAGCTCCTTCGCGTGACTGGCCTCTTTGGTTAAGGCATTCGCTAGCTGGGCCTCGCTGTGGACCCATCGAACATGAAGCTGTGTCGTAGCCTGTGATTCTTTCAAGGCCAGAAGTTCAATGTTCGTACGCTTTTCCGCGCCCCGAAAGCTGAGCACCTCAGTTTGAAGCTTGTCGAAGACATTCCTCGCGTCGGACACTAAGCAGCCGCTCACCTGAGTCACTACACTATCTGGGTCCCGAACGTTCGGAAATCCATGAAGGATCTCCGACCATTGCAGCCTTGCGTAATATAGCAAATCTTCGCCGTTTACGGCAGCTTGTGTCTCCGAAGCCCCTGGGCTTCGGTAGGCTCTGTCGATCTTAGAAGCATTCCAGGTAATTGGAGAAACAAATTCCATGTCCCCCTGAAGCATCCCTTCCGAAGACATGCCTATGAATATCCCCTGGGAACTGCCGCCATCGTGGCGGTTCTGATTAGCAGCATCCACCCAGGCAAACAGCATCATCTTCTCCTGTTCTGGAAATCCATGGATTTTCAGGCAATGGTCCTGACGGGCCTTAGCGTGTTGCAACAGCAGGTTGGCCTTAGTGATGGTCCTCACTGTACTTTGGCAAACCTCCGATAGGAGGAGTGATACCTCAGCACAGACATGAGGTCCAACTTGTTGTCCGAACCAACTGAGCCCGCCAAGGAGAGCCCTGAGTTGGCTCTTCTCCCGCTCTGTAGTGGCCTGAGTGGGATCCTTACGACGTGAGGAATTCACAGGGATCTCGGAAATGCCCTCAAGATACCTTGGCTGTGAAAGTTCAAAGCCCTCGGCCGTCTTCTTTATCTGCACGCCGCACTGCACGAAACTGTTGCAATCCCAATCACCCCACTTAAAGCGCGTCTGGATTTTCTGCAAAATCGATTGCCATTCCTGGTCTTGATCACTGCCGGCAAACAAAAAGTCGTCCACGTGGCCAGCCACCATGCCTCGAACTTGGCCGTCTTTGCGCCACACCCAGGCGCAGGCATCGCACCAGGTGCGCTCGAGGCCTAGTTCCTCGAGGAAGGTGGCTATCGTCCTGTACCATTCCAATGGAGCGTCCACCAATCCGCAGCATGCACGACGCAGCCTGGTAATGGACCCGGGAGCCAACTGCATTGCTGCACAAATCTCGTTGCACGGAATGCAATAGAGAGTGTCTGGATATTCCCTGCCTTGCAGGAATGCTCCAGACACACCCCCCTTCTGCACAGTCCATTGGCGATTGGCTGCTAGTTGCAACATGAACTGACGCGTCTGACGTGTCATAACAGGAGCCGTAGTGGATCGATGTTCATACGACGGGTCTTGATACCCCAAAAGTACCGCGCGGGCCTTCGGCTTAACAGAGCCGTCCTCTTTTGTTTTCCACGTCAAAATCCATCGCATGCCCACTGCTTGTTCCTTGCTAGGTTTCAAGTGACTTGGCAAAGCTTCGAATGCCTGGGCCGCCAGGAAATTCTTTACCTCGACAGACTTTGCTTCCCGAAACAACTCCTTTTCAGCTGGTGTCAGCCTCTTCTCAGATACTTCCATGGCCTGTCGTCGCAAGGCGGCCGTGAAGTATGTGGGAAGATCCCTGGTAAAGGCGTTGATTCCCCGGGTTGCCTGTGGGACTTCGATTTCCAAGGCCACGGATGCGTTCTCATCTTGCCAGTAGTCGGCCGGCTCGGTCACCCAAGCCGACTCGTGGACCACAGAGGTCCAGTCACCTGCTTCTGGAGGGTGTCCTCGTGGAGCGCGACGAGCTGGACGGGAAGGTCGCGAGGGTGTTCTCTCTGCCTCGTCCTCGCCGCGGTCCTCCGGTAGTGCGGCGTGTTCCGCACTCCGCTTTCCCCGAAGCCGGTGCCTCGTAGGTGGGGCCTCCTGCTCGATGTCTTGAGCTCGCTGCCATTCTTCGGGGCTGGGTTGCTCCGAAGAAATGTCGTCGCACTGCGAACCCCCTATCTCCTCTGCCACCTTGGTGTAGGTCCAAGGCGTTGCCTCGGCGCCTTCCGTGAGAGCTTCAACGAGCTCTTCTCGCTCCGATGCGTGTCGCAACTGCTCAGGCGAGCACTTTAGCAGTCTCCGTCCACGCACACACCAAATGGCACTGCCTGGCCTGGCGTTGCCATCCGAGTCCCGCCGAGTCTCGCAGGCCAGCACTCTGGCTGGTCCCAGGAAGGAACCATGCTTGTTCCCTGGTTGGGTGCGGCCTTGGCCGCCTCCTTGTGACCGCCAGAAAAAGACCAAATCGCCCGGCTTATAATCATAGGCGGGTTTCGAGCGGGAGTTAACTGCCCGAACCAACCTCTGAGAAGCGTTCCATTCCGAGTGGGCCTTTTCTGCTTCCCTACGGCGCTGGACCGCTCGAGCAAACTCACCCGAGGCATTTTCGGCAAGCAGTCCTGGAGGAATGTGTTCTTGGTTCTGGAGGAATCTTCCGGTGGCATCGGGGTTTTGGCCAAAGATGTGTTGAGCGGGGGAGAAACCTCTGATCATTTCTCTTTGGTTGAAGGTGACGATTGCTGTTGACAGAGCCTCCTCTGAGCTGACTTCTGGGTCTGCAAGGCTCAACTTAGTCATGACTTCCTTCAAACCCTTAACGGCTTCTTCACACACACCAATCTGATGATGGGCCTCACCCGGTATCACATCCAAATAAATCTGATGTCGATCGCAAAACCCCTCAACAGCTTGGCTTCGAAAGGGGCCTGAAGGATCTAAGCGCAGCACCTTGGGATGTCCGAAGTACTGACACCAACTCTCCTGAAAGTACTCCAAACAGGAAGCCGCAGGTGGGGTTTGTTTCGAACCCTTCGTGAGGATCTTGGCTGCCCTGAACCGGGAACCCTCATCCACTACCAGCAGAAATTGAACCACCTCTCCTGAACCTGGATGTCTCCAGTGTCCCACGTCCGCGGAGACTGTGGAGAGTTTTGGGGGAAGAGGTTCCAGTGTCGCGGTGGGTCGACTTCCTACTCGCTGCTTCTCAATGCACACTGGACACCGAAACTCCGAAGCCAACTGAAGAACCCTTTCCGAAGCGCCTCTTTTCCGAAGAGCTTCAATCAAATACCTCACACTCCCGTGGCCCGTGGCTGAATGCAATAAATACAATCGTCGCTTGATGGCCTCATCCCCATCCCTAGCTGGAGCCCCTGCTGGCGGGGCTTCTTCCGCCATACATGACTCTGCAGAAATCCCTGTAGGAGGCTGGAACCCCAGCCCTCGCAACTGACGCAACTCCCTGGAGTCCTGAAGTTTCACATTCCTACTCACATACGCCGTCAGGGACAACCTGTTTCCAGTCCAGTCACACGTCCCGTGCCAGGCCTGGGGAGAGTAGGTCTCCACGCGGTGGTGCAAGGACACCAGTCGCCCATTGACCCTGGTCCCATCTGATTTCTCCTGGGCCAGGGCATCCGGACCGGTGTATTCTGGCGGCGTTTCCAACCACAGTTGGCCGCCGGTGTAACTACCGACCCCTAAGGATTAATTCGGAAACTGCGGGTGGTTCTGCAAGTCTCTGTGGATCGGGGTGTGCACGTTGTAGTTAAAGGCAAAAGACGTCCATTGGGCTTTGGGTCCTAGGTGTTTCTGGAGAAAGTTGTTCACGTATCTGGTCGTCTGTGGCAGATCCTTACTCCGATTGGTGATCCCGTGTTGACTCCCGTAAGTATACAACCCAAACACGTAGGACTTTCCTTGGCGCCCCGTAGCATGCGACGTGGTCGCCCATTGGGCAATTGGCCTAAAATCCCCAAAACCTTCTCAAGAGCCTTCCAGCTGAAGTCCTGATTTTGAAGTAATTCCCCTGCTCTTGCTTCGACTTCTGGCACAGTGGATGCCTCCTTGGTAGCCGCCTGCTTGTTTGACTCTCCTACAACCCTGGAAGGTGAGGATGTAGTTACTGAACATACCTGCGCCTGGAGTTCACTGGCCTGGGCTTCGGAAACTCCTACACCCTCTGAAGAACCCTGAAGAACCTCCCGGAAACACTCCCCGCACTCCACAGAATCCCCGTGATGCTGCAACTCACGGCAAGCACACCTGGAACCCATGCCGAACCATTCGGGAAGTTGGGAAATGCCTCTACATTCTTCAAGCACACTACAGTAGTTCAGTTCCTGGCAAATGGTCTGGGAAGCTTTCCGCACATACTCCGGAGTGTATCTAGAAGATCGAGCCGCATCCGGCCCTTCACACCTACCATGTCGAACATGTTTGGGGCATGTACACGGCATGTCCATGATCTGAGCCAGTCGTGAACATGTGGTCAACAGACGCCAACCCTTTTGAATCAAACGACTGTCCTTGTCACGAAGTCCTACCCTACAGCCTCTGGTAATGGCAGTGAAAAGACCCTGTTTCTTCTGCAAGTCGACCAAAACAGGCAATCTCCATTCATGTGAGCTGGCCGCCAACTCCAGAGTGACATGTATGCCGCTCTGTATGCACTCATGAAAGATGCACGCACAACTCACAAACATACGGAGAGCTTCCTGGCGTTTCGCTTCCAGTTCTCTACGCTGCTGCTCGGTTCGCTGGTTGCTGTTTTGAAGGGGAGACCATGGTTCGCTGGGAGGGCTCATCCACACATGTTGGGGCTCAACTCGAATGCGGTTCAACACCAGTTGCAGCCCTTCGCGAGTGCGCAGATCACAGGCATTCCATAGGGCACAGCGGCTTGCGGCCTGTGGATTTCCTGTTCTACTCTGCACAGCGGAAGAAAGCAGGCTATCATGTTCACAAGCCACTTCCATCAAAGCTATCCGGTCCTGGCCACATAAGTCCTGGAAGAGATTGGGCACTAAGCCCCGCGCCTGTTGCTCTAGGTGTCGGGCCTCTCCAATACTAAGTCGAAGACCCTTATGTCCGGGGCCTGGCGCTGGCACTCATCACTGCTTCTGGCTCGTCACCGCCCTCTGCTTGCGATGCTTGTCCTCCTTGAGCTCCTGGATCTCCTCTTTGAGGCCCTTCACTGCTTCCACCAAGGTTCTCATCACCTGTGTCTGCGGATCCTCGTAGTCCTTCTCGGCCGTCGAATGGTATCCCCGACTGCGGCGGGGTTCCTGGTGACTGCTGGCTGCGATCATGGACATCTCCTTCTCGGGGATCTCGGGCTCCTTCAGGTGGTAGGCCTTCGCTGGGCTCATCTTGTTGGTGGTGGGCTTCTCGACATCCTCTGCAAGCTCCAGCCAACGAGCAAGTCGCACCAGCTTCGGATCCGGCGAATCGGACTCGCTTGCTGTCCTTGTGACCCAGGCCGCGTAGGAGGGAGCCTGGTTGAGCAACTCCGCGTAGGTCATCTGGGCAAACTTGCCGAAGCCGACGTAGTCCGACCCGCGCGGCTCCACCACGCGGTAGATCTCCATCATCGCCGTCTTCTCCATCTTCAAGATCGTGTCGTTGGCATTCGGCTTGAGTCCCAACTCCTGCATGAATGCCACCAAAGTAGCCTTGGTCTTGGCTGCACGGTTGAGCTTCTGAATCATCTCCTGGAGGGGTTTGTCCGCCTTCAACTTCAAGGTGGTGGTGTCGCTCTCCCCATGGATGGTCTCCAGCTCGCCCAGCCTGGTCACAAGCTCGGCTTTGTTCCGCCGGGTAGGTGGCTCCTCCCCGTAGTTCCGAATCGCGGCTCGGAGCTGAGCATTGGTGATCTTCGAAGCCATTGTCGGCGGCGATGAGATGATCACGAACAGGATGGCTGGCTTGTACACAAGGAGGCTGCGGCGTGGGTTGTCTCACCACCCCTTTTGAGAGAGATGCAAATTGGTCACTAACACCCCTACCATCTAACCTCGTAGACTGCACTTCCACATTCCCCTGGGCCTTGAGTCTACTAGATGGTCCCTGTTGCCCTACAGAATACTGGACCTCCCGGCTTTTTGGGCAAAAATCCGGGAGGAGCTGCCCGGCCGCGGCGCCCGTTGCTGAGCGCTGCAATTGCACCACATGTTTATCACTAATACTGCGGAACACGGCCTGGTCGGTGGAGAAATCGATGATAGCCTTCAAGGATCGCAGGGCCTCAATGGAGATGAGGAGGGGCCCGTGGCCGGCATCGATTGTATGAATCTTCATGACTCCAGGCTTTGCCCCAAGCTGTGATCGACATGTGGGCGGTTGAGAGACATCGGTTGGAGGAGGAATTGCCAAAGGAAAAGACTGGCCTGACCTCCGTGTCCACTTCCTGGATGCCGGTGTCGCCGCGGAGGGTCTGGTTCTTTCGCATCAAGGCTTCCAAGGCCTGCACGGAGGCCAAGGTTTTGGTGGCACCCCCATCGATCACGCCCATGCCCTCGGCGATGGCCTCGGTGGTGGTGAGCATGCGGGAATCCTGCTCGGTTCCCGTCGCACGGCCATTGATGTGAAAGGACTCCTGATTCTCCATCTCGCGGTCCGCGTAGCACACGAAGGGTGCCTGCTCCTCTTCAAAGTTCGCATCCGCCTTCTTGTCGGGGCAGTTTGCTGCTCGATGGCCGGTTCGGCCACAATTTAAGCAAACCATGTTGGCATCCGGATTGCTCCTCGAAGAACTGGATGTCGAAGATCCGCCCGGGCCTGGTCGGCGAGGTGTAGCTCCCGGCTTAGAGGAAGGGCTGTAGTACTTCCTTGAAAGCTTGACGTACTTCTGCCGGGCTTCCTTCAAGGTCCGCCTGGCGCCTTGAATCACTGCCCAGGCATCATAGGCCTCCCGGTTGGCCTCTTGCATGGCCTGAATCTGAAGTCCTTCCTCGTTCATCCCCTCGGCCACCAAGATGGATTCGTCGTAGTCCCCGTAGGTCTCGTCCTCCGGGTTCTCCTCGTCGTCCTCCATGCCGAAGTAGCCGCCCTGGCGGCTTCCATGGTGCCTCAAATCTAGACCTAAAGACTATAAAACCCTGAAGCCTTAACCGACTTTAACCCCAAACCCCGAAACCCTAAACCCCTAAACCCCAAAACCCCCTTAAACCCTAAAGCCCCAATCCTGAAAGGTCTTGAACCTGCTGGATCGACCTGAATTCGTGACTTGGGTACAGCAACGTAAGGCTTAAAGGAGGGTTTAGGCTTTAGCGGTTTAGGTAGGGATCAGTAGTGTTCAGGGTTCAGGGGTGGTTCATTCATGGGACCCTGACACGGAAAGTAATTGGTCCAGGATTTTAAGATGCTTCAGGTGTACCTGCGGTATGGCTTCCTCACTTCGTTTTCCGATTTTCGCCAACAGATGGGGCTTGTGTGGTACGCGTAGTGATAGCGACTAAGGCTTGTGACCTGTTGCAGGTTTGGGTAGAGTCACTTTGACGTCCAGCAAGGGTCGTTGCAGCATGCGCGGAGGTAGGTGGTGTTCAGCGCATCATGTTGCATGCGGTCTCGAAGCCCCGCAGGCTCGAACGTCCCTTCCAAGAGGGTTTTCTTACCTGCGAGGATTCAGAATGAAGATCGTCGAATTGGATCCTAGATTTTCCGAGCCCCACAAGCATTATCAAGCCTGCCGTGCAAGGAGCAACGCTTTCCGGATGGACCGCCACAGCTGCTTTGATGTAGTTTTGCATCGTCCTGTCGACATTCTGTGCATGAGTATTATGAGCGAAGCGATAATCGTATGTGCTCCGGGTAGCGCCGTTGTCTTCTGTCTCATCCCGCTGCGCTGGCAAGACTACAGGAGTCAAATCCATGTTGCCCGAAGCCTGCGACTTTGAACCCTAAACCCCTAAACCCCCTAAACCGAGAAACCCCGAACCTCAAAGCCCTGAACCCTGGACCCGCAACCGCAGCACTCATGTTCGGATCCACCCAACATGTCCTGCATCTCTTTGCAAAAAGCAGCTTAATTCCAAAGGAAGGGGGTGTAGTCGAAGCCAGCATGCCGAAGCCTAAAAACCCGGTCTGCTGGTGTTGTGTTGAAAGCGATGGAAATCCGAACTCACAAAATTAGGTTTCAGTGAGTTCGTTATATGAGGGACCGCCCTCAAACAAAGTAAGTGCTTGTCAGAAAACAGGACTCCAAGTAGTAAGCTCCATCCTACAAGAGGACCCCCGCATGCTAAGATCCATACACAGCCACCCGAGTATTATAAGAGGCGCCCTGAGCCCTAAACCCAAAAACCCTTCAACCCTTAAGCACGCTCTCAAACCCCAAACTTACTAAACCCCTACATAAGGGTAACTCCTATAAACCCCTGAACCCTGAAGCCAAGAAGGGGAGCCCTGCGATTCCATGTGGGGGTTTCCTAAAATAGGGGACCCTAATATAGTACCCTAAATGGTAGGATCCTTATTATAAGGACCCCAAAATAAGGTACCCTGATCCGCATCAGGTTTCTGCGCATCTCTCCTCGCACTTTCCTGGCAACCTTACCCGGGGAGGACGGAGCTTGGTGGGCTTCTTGGATAAAAATGTTGTATACAGTGCTCTAGTGTTTTTTTAAGTGTTTATAGAGTATTGTTTGGGTTTTTACATGCATGGATTTAGAATACAGATTTTTATTGATTTGTTTTGGTTGGATAGCAAAGGGCTCTATGTTTTTGCAGGGCCCTAGTGGAGTTGTTCAGTCCCTTTCATAATTTACTGGAACTTCGGGGCTTCAGACAACTATGCCGGGAGGTACCCGAAGATGGCTTTCATGCAACTGTTGTATAAGTATAGGTCTTATATATATATATATACACGTACATACATACATACATACATACATACATATATACATACATACATACATACATACATACAGGATCTTCGTAACATAGACCGTCATAGATGCCATTTCAGCGTATCTCTACCCTCTACCCTAAACCCCTAAACCCAAAGCCCTTTCCAAAGCGAGGTCAGCCAAGCAGCTGACATGGACGCAGCGGCCTGGGTGGACATGCCCGAGGCCTTTGCCGCTTCAGAGTTCAATGAGTCGGTAAGTTACGCAGTACGAACATACAAGCTTGCATGAGACGTGTGCAAGACATACATACAAGTAGCACATTTACATGTAGACATACATATGTATATGCATGTGTCCATATATGATTGTATGCATACATGCACGTATGTACGTAGGTAGCAGGTAGGCAGGTAGGCAAGCAGGCCGGCAGGCAGGCAGGCAGGTAGGTAGACAGGTAGGTATGAACATGTGATTGTGCAGGCGTGTATGGATGTCTGTTTGTCTGTCTCTCTGCCTGCCTGCCTGCCTGCCTGCCTGGCTGGCTGGCTATCTGTCTGTCCGTCCGTCGGTTTGTATGTACATGTGTTTGTACAAGGCAATGAATGTTTGAGGGTGTGTAAATATAGTTATGCGTGTATGTATGCATGTATATGTGCAGGTATGCAGGCATGCACGTATGTGCGTATGCACTTCTGTGTGCGCTCGGTTTGGTCTCATATTACGCAGCCCTTACGAACCCAAACCCTAAACCCAATCGAAACCACAAGGGCAGCATTCTCGAGAAGCCGGCACTTCTCGCAGCACTTCCGCCGGCGCTGGCGGAGCCCACCCCCTGGCGCCTTGGATGCCTCAAAACTGTCTGCCTAGATATCAGAACGTTGTGTCAGAACTTTGTGCAGGTTGACTTTATGATTTCATCCCGAGACTTGGCTCAAGTGCTGTTCGTTTCCGACGGTTTTCAAGAGAACTGCCTGTAGCAACATGGTGAAGGCCTTGATTCTGGCGCTCCTTCCGGTGGCGCTTGCATTCGCATCATGCCCCAGCGGAGAGTGTGAGGAAACTGCGGTGGTGCAAGTGCGAAAGTCCGAGAGGTCCAAGCGGGACTTGATGATCGGCTATTGGGCTTGGGCATGGAATGGAGCGGCAAACACCATCCCTGGACCAGCAAACCAGACCATGGGAATCTGCTTCAGTGGATACACAGATGCTCAAAGCAACCTGAACTACTGCATTTCCCAGGGCGTTATTCCTTACCTCTGCAGTGGCTCTGACGTCACTTGCACCAAGTGGATGACGGTCGGAGGTGCTGGTACGACCACGGACAGAACGGTTTTGAGTGGCGCAGTGGGCCTAGCTGCAAGCATCCGATCAGCAGGCTTCGATGGGATCATCTTCGATTCGGAGTATGTCGAGGCACAGTCGACTTCCGCAGACCTAGTGGAGGACTTTTATGAAGCCACTGCAAACTTGTCGTCTGCGGGTCTCCTGGTTGGAATTACCACAAGCCACAGCGCGCCTTTGGGATGCACCAACTGCAATGCCGCCGAGGTCGTGTCAGGTTGGCTTGCAGATCCAAATCTTGACTGGATCTCCCCGCAGCTCTACAGCAATGGCTACTCACTGGAGCTCGTGCCAACCTCCGATTGCTCGACCGAGTCGCCAGCGTGTACTTGGGACATTTACCAAAACGTCATTGTGCCAATTGTGCCCTCGGTCCCTTATGCCTACATGTACGATCAAGCTTCCACTAACGCCGTGGATTACTTTAAGGACACCTACAACATCACGTTGCAGGGATACATCCAGTGGATTCAAGAAGTGGACAGCTCCTTCGATCCCGACCCGAGTCCGAGTCCTTCCCCATCGCCCAAGGGTTACTACGGGCACAAGAAGTGGTTTGGTCGATGAAAGAGCCAATGAAGTCTTGACAGTTCGATCGTTTCGAATTCACATATGCCAAGGTTAGTACGACGCTCGGTCAGCAAGCAACAGTGGCAACGGTATGAAGTTTTGTAAACTCCACTATGTTCCAAACACGCCATTAACATCATAAACATCACAGTGAGTGCTGTCGCAACCTGTAGTGACAGCCACTGCGCCTGCGAAGAGGCTCCTGTAGCGGGGCCCTGCCTCCAATGTGACAACCACTGCGCTTGCGAATAGGCTCCTGTACTGGGGCCCTGCCTCCAATGTGAGCAGAATTTTGACCCGTGTCCCTGCATGGCCTGATACGTAGTGTCAGCCTTCGCATGCCTACTGCTTTTGAAGCAGCTGCAGTCTGGAGAAGACGCGCGGCTGAAAAAAGCGACATGTTGTTTCAGCCTGGACTGAGAGTGATACACGGGTTGATCGATCGCTGGCTTCAGCGGCAACCTGACACTTGCAAAGACAAAGGGATCAGCCGCAGACTAGCCGAAGTCCAAGAAGACAATTCATTACAGGTTCTGG